CGAGCACACGTCCTCCAACGAGCACACGTCCTCACCGAGCACGCGTCCTCACCGAGCACGCGTCCTTCGCACCCACCTACAAACTGATTTCATCAGTTTGTAGGTGGGAGTGGTTCGGAATGGTTCATTTGAACAACACGTGTGATTTTATGTCAGTATCATGTTGTCGTTTGATTGAAACATGAACTCTTTCACTTTTAGCACGATGTACTTTAAATCAATGCTGAAGGCTAAATTCACAAAGTGTAATCTGTGCGTTCAAAATTTAAATGTAAACATGAAGCTGAAGATTTTGATTTTTGATAAAGAATTCAGGTTTTTTTATTTTATTCGGTGGGTTTAAGTCTCTGTCTGTTGTTGGTTTTAATGTGGGGGGAACAAGCTGCTGTGGATTCTCCGGAGACAAGCTCCTCCAGGTTGTTTCTCCAGATCAGGGCCACAGAATAAACTGATGCCACTTCCTCCGTTCAGCCGCCAGAGCTTCACTTGGTCTTAATCTCAACACAAACACAACGTTGGTGTTTCTACTGAATAAAGTTTTCCATGCTCCAACTCACCTTTACTTATTCACCAGTAATAAAGACTCTTAGTATTTACTTAATGAGCATTAAACTTTATTATCTGTTCGGTGTTTAATTAGTTTCACTTTCTGAAACCGACATTCAACGTCCACATTTCATTGCATACCTTTCGATTCCCGTGTAGATATACCTGAAATATCTTGTTTTAACGTTTCTGCTGTGAGTAAATGTTCAGTCACATTTAAACCATCACATCAAGAACCTTTTCAGCATCACTTTGTTTTTACAGTTTTATACTAAAATAAGTTAGTAAAAGTATTTTGTTTCCATGAAGATGTTTGAAAAAAACAGGATGCAGAAAACCCAGAGATAATAATAACAAGTATACAAGTGTAGTTTAGTAATAAAGAAATAAATTCAACGATTAAACAAAGGCTCTTGTTTTCTTGTCAACCCTTTGTTTTTAATTGTATTTTCCTGTTTCGTTGTACAACGTTAACACAGTAGTGAATGTTTGAATGTCTGTACAAGTGATGCAGATGTTTCATCCCAAAATAAAAGCATAAAACAAGCAAACAGCTGCTTTAAAATGAAACACTAACTTAACTAAAGGACACTGAAGCAGAAACGTTATCAGAGCAGCGTTCACACGTTTAAAGCCACAAACACAGGTGATGCATGTCTGATCAACAAAACAATGACTAGGCTCCTGCTAACTACATATCTATTAAAACTATGTCAAAGTTGTTTTGTCCGTTCCATTACACCGTGTTTGATCTGATTAATATCTTCTGTTAGTAACTCAACTGGAACTGAGCTGTAAAATGAAAGTAACTCAACGCATCACTTGAATCTGACGTTCGGAGGAAAATGTGAAGCAGATATTGGATCCTTGCGGGAGGCGTCACTCCGACGTTACACGACACGGCTCTAACGAGGAGCGGTTTAGATTTTGAGGAACATCTCCACTAATTAATTGATTAAACTCCGGAACCGTGAACTCTTCTTCTCAACAACTGTGAGGGTCAGAGATGCACAGATTCGATTTAGAAATTATCCCGACAGCTGAACTCTTGTTCTCTTTCACACAAGTTTAAAATCTGTAAACCTCTTTAAGTTAAATTTGAGAAATAGAGGACGTGCTCAGAAGACTTGTTCCGTTTAAAGCTGCTAGCAGACACAGACTGAACTCTGGGTAACCTCCTGAAATGATCTAGAGGGGCTGCATGTGAGAACACAAATGTCTGAGTCATGTACGTCTGGTACAGAACGTAACCGACAGAGATGAAATGAGTAAGAACAAAATATGACAACTGATTTTCAGAATGCCAAAAAATAAAATATTAAGATTTTCCGTTTGTCACGTGGAGAGGTTTGAGGAGTTCACCTCGGACTGAGGGAAAGATGAAACCTGCAGGTGACCTGAAAGTGATGAGAGATGTTTTGTTGCAGCCTGAAAATCCTCGGTGTTGTTCAGACAACAAATTCTACCAAATAGCTCCAACTCTGTGAAAACACTTGCAGCACCAGGATCTGAATTTGGAGTTCCGACTCTTTTGGATTTGTTTTAATTGACTATGTGACTTTTCTCCTTGTTGTGAAAATGTAGTTTGACTCAAGAGAACAGGAGACGAGCTAGTCTTCCTCTAGTTCGCAGCTCAGGTCTGACATGTGGAGTTTATGCCAACGTTTCTAAAACCAATAAAAAAATATATCACAGAACTCAAATGAAACTAAACTGAAGTGAAGCTGCTGTTTGATGCCGTCAGAGACGCAGTCAGACGATCAGACAAGTTTATCCAGATTCATTAAACCACTTTATTAGAAGTCGGCAATAATCCGTCACTGAACAAGGAAACTCAGCACACGACTACAGTTCGGAACAGAAAGTTAAACGAGGATTCCTACTTTGTTTATAACAGACTGAGTTTTTACCTCTGGATCGTCTGACTGCTCGTATTTCTGAATTCTACCAAGTTCTACGATCCCAGCTCTACGTTAACGGTCGACTTGTAGTTTTACTGACAGAGACGATGAACAAAACTATAAAAATTAGACCCGAGTTGTAATAAACCACATTTATCCTTCACAACCATCCAAATGCCCATCACAGCCTATTCTCAGGGAGACAACACTGAGTTGGAGCCTGGACCTCGATGCAGACTCAGGTCGATTGTGGTTTGCGTGTTAAAAAGAGAAATGTTCCACCACAGCGAGCTCCGACTCTGCCGCGGCCTCACTGCTGGGGAGGGTTGTTTTCGGTGTCCACCGTCCTGATGATGACGATCTGCTCCAGACTCTGGGCGGGGGAGGGCGGCGGCCGCAGCTGCTCCACCAGAGCGTGGAGGGTGTCCGAGTTGATAGTCTGCTCCTGGTCGGCGTCGAAGGTCACCTGGTCAGCGGCGGTGACAGGGGGGTCAGTGGGCTCCGACTTTAAGCTCTGGATGATGGCAGCAGCGACGTCGACCGACTCCATGGTGGTGGCGACGTCTGTGGATGAAGCCGGGGCTTTGGGGTTGGGGGTGGCCGGCTCAGGGTTGGGCGGCTCTCCTTCGGATATGGACACCAAACCTTTGTTTTCCTGGGAAAGTTTGTTCTGGACGAAGGCCATGGGATGACTGGAGGCCAGGAGGACGACTGCTCAAACACACACGTGGACATTAAGTTAGAAGCGGAACCTGACATGATCTTTTCTTTCTGTAACTAACGACATGGAAACGATAAAACAGTAAACGTTTGCTCCGCTCAGTTTAAGATCTGCAGGATTCATCTGCTTTGTTTGAAATCCTGTTGAGTGGTCGCTCACAAACACAAACGCACGAAGCCGATTCGCTCACCAGCTCTGGCTCTCTCCTTGTGTTGCCGCACTTCGTCAGCGTGAGCCTTCTCCTGGTGTTTGATCATGTTCTTCACACTGGCAAACCTGTTCCCACACAGGAGACACTGCACGCCGCTGCTCCCCTCTGGAGGAAACACAAACATTACATCTCACTTTCATCCTCAACTGGATCACACATCATTTACATTCGATGTCAGACGACAAAGAAAACTACAAAGTGTTCTGGAAACTCACCTGGGTGATGTCGTCGAATGTGTTTCTTTAAGTCAGAAGACGTCGCAAAACGTGCGTCGCACTTTGGCGTCGGACATTTGTACGGAGTCTCACCTGAAACCAAACAGCCAAACATTCGCATACGTTACCGAACATGTTCAGGAGCTGTCCTGAATTCCATCTCAGGTCCCGCCCCCTCGTTAAACGCTCACCTGTGTGTTTTCTAGCGTGTGAGATGAGAGAAGAGGAAACGGAGAACGACATGCCACAGCGATCACACTGGTACGGTTTCTCTCCGGTGTGTCGTCGCTTGTGATACGTCAGGGTGCTGGACTGAGCGAACGCCTGACCACAGATGTCGCACACGTACGGTTTCTCCCCGCTGTGAAGTCTGTAGGAGACAAACGACGATCAATTCATAATTTAATTCATCCATCGAGCAGAAAAATCAAATATCAACCAGTTACTGGGTTTACTGCCTTTTTCCTCCAGAACATCACAAAACTGAATATCTGTGTTTTAAACATGTTCAGTGTCTCTCTCCCACACCAGAGAGAGAATCCACAATGTGAGTGCATACGTTCAACGAGCTCTGGTACCTGATGTGTATTTTGTAATTGGACGAGGTAGCAAACTTGAAACCGCAGCGCTCGCAGGTGAAAGGCTTCTCCTCCCCGTGGTGCATCCGACGATGAGCCACCAGCTGACACTTCTGAGCAAAGCACTTGTCACAGTCGGAGCAGTTGAACGGCTTCTCACCTGCAACGAGCAGCACAGAAGAAGAGAAACGAGGACATCAGTCCCACAAACCACCGCTGGTCCCTTCGGTTTATCGTCCACACGAATCGTTTTAGTCTCTCGTCGTTAGTCTCTCGTCCACACAAACTGTTTTGAGTCAATATTTTGTATAAAAAGAGTTTGTGTGGACGGGGATTTATTATTATTATTATTGTTTTAAATTCTTTTGTTGAATTTGGGGATTTGAATAGATGGATGAGGTTCAACTGATGATTTTCAATATGAATTCCTTTCCAACATTTTCTTAAATTCACTGTTTCGTCTAAAAATCGTCAAACGGCAGCAAAAAGAAGCTTCTTTCCAGAGTCACGCGTCCCGTCCTGTTTAAACGAATCCAATGATTAATGTTTCCAATGACACGAGACGGAGAGAAGCAGAAAGACACCAGAGAATGTTTGACACTGAGATGATTCCTCATTACAAGAGTTACTGGTTACTGTCTGTCCACTGTCAGCCCTGACACGATGATTATTTCGAACTCGCTCACCTGTGTGTATGCGCAGGTGAGTTTTCAGCTGCGTGGCTTGTCGGAACTTTTTCGAGCAGAAGATGCAGACGAACGGCTTCAGTCCCTTGTGGATCTTCTCGTGTCGGTGCAGGCTGCTCGCGTCTTTGAACATTTTGTTGCACTCGGTGCACGACAGCATCATCTCGCCCGTCACTGACGGATCCTGTTCCCCGATCTCACCCTCTTCATCACCATAATCATCAATGTCATCATCAGCGCCAGGCGAGCCGCTCTCCTCTTCCTCCCCCTCTTCCTCCTCCCCCCCCTCCTCCTCGTCCTCCTCAGCCCTCCTCCTGCCTCGGCCTCTGCCTTTCCCTCTGCCTCTGCCCCTCCCCCGGCCTCGTCCTCTTCGTCCCTCGCCGCTGCTCAGCCGAGGCTTCTTGGACGGAGACTCCTCCTCCTGAGAGGGGCTCCAGTCCGCAGAGGTGTCTCCAAAGTCCTTCACACTCGTGTCAGAATCTTCCAAAAACAGATCTTCTTTCGAAGAAACTCCTCTTCCTCTCCCCCTACCGCGTCCCCTGCCCTTTCCTCTGCCCCTCCCCCTGCCTCTCCCCCTGTAGCTCTGGGTTTTGGGGGTGCCATCGGCCGAGCTGCTTGCCTCCGTCTGCTCCCCACTTAAACGCTTAGGCCGTCCTCTCTTCCTGCCCTGTCCACGTCCCACGGTCTTGGGTGTCGTGGGAGTGTACTCTTCATCGCTTTTGTCTCCCTCCTCCTTATCTAAACCTTTTGC